AGGTTACTGGGACAATAAAATTAAACGTAACCGAGTACTACATACAATGCTCTTAAGTGGGCATGTTACAGTTTTTATTCTTTTGTCACATTGATACTATTACAGAAATACAGAAATGCATGCTCATACTAAACATGGCTAAAGCTTCAAACAATGATTTCAGTGTATGCGCAACTAATCTGAAAAAGCCAAAACTTCAGGCCTTAGGCTGCTTTAGTCACTAAACTTCAGACAAACATTGGCCTCAAATGACGTGTAGGAGAGCAGATATCCTCAATATGTTCTTTCCAGGCATCTGTGCGCACAGTCAAAGCTGTACACGCAGATGCCTCACCCACATGCATAAAGGCAGAGGAGCTAAAACAGCTTGTTTTAGACAGTGCACGAACAGAGGGGCTGGACCAAGCACTGGTATACGATAAACAAGGATTATTTTGAACTATCAATCATGCAAAGCTTGTCTAGTTAAGAATAAAAATATCAAGGTAGAAATGAGCATCATAGCTCCTCTTTACAGAGAAAGAAGCTGTGCTCTAGCAACATGCTCACCTGCAATACAAACCTCTGGTCAATATACTTTTTGGCTATGTTTGGTTGAAAGTCCGGTGACTCTAAGAACCGCAGGAAGAACTCGTAGACGAGCTGTGGAAGAGGGGCAAAGACTTTAAAACAACAGAAATAGGTGAACAGGCTCTTTCTGACTAAACCACGTATGTGGGTGTGACGCATGTACCTGTAGATGCGGCCACGCAGCTTCAAGAGTGGGTTCATCTTCCTCTGGGTCAAACTCTGCACCCGTGGGGTTGGATGACGGCGGCAATGCCCTAAACATATTCACAGCAAACTGGGAAACAAAAACAGAGGACAGACAATCGGACATGCCAGATAAATATAAACTTGAAAAAGACATTTCCCCCACAGAAATCCAAACCGCTCAAGGAAGCGGTGGCCTCTGCCCTTTTTATTTGCATAAAAACACAATATTTAAAACATCACCATTTCTTTGTTTACGTAGGCTGCCAGTAACCTGTAGTAACAAATAGATCAAATCCATTGGACCATGTACTGTCCAAACTGCCTTTAAAAGACAAGTAAAATATTTCTATCAGCATAAACGTGTTTAAATGTTGCAAAATCCACTTTTTGCCATTTTTTAAAAATTGTCTAGATCCACAAATTATGAGTTGACTACATCCTCTCCTTCCTTTTCCTTCTTGAGCCCTTCGAGGTTAAAACCAACTGAGACGTCAAAACCTGATAAGCACCGCCCCCGGCTGTGAAGGAGACCCGCCTTATTAAATTCAGTATGAGCAGCTGCTGTGGCTAATGTTAGCTTTAGGTTTGAGTGTACTCCTACGAGCCACAGTTATGTCAAAATTGGAATGCTGTAATGTAATGAAAATCAGATATTATGAAAAGCAATAAACAAGAACAGAGTGTAGGTTACTGTGTTTCATGTTGCTTTTTAATCAGCCTTTAGATTTGTTTGCTTCTCTCTGTTCTCTGAGCTCGTATCTTCCTCTTTTTAATATTTCATACATTTAACTACGATGAATCTGTGTATCTGTGGACTGACTGTGCTGTGAAATGTATCCATTTTTCATGCTACATCCACAGCACATATTAGGTATACTAGGCAAAACAAGGCAGGGAGCGTTGATTTGGGGATTGGTGTATATTTGTTTCTTCAGATTAAGAGCAGTGCTGTGAAACTGATTCATCACCAAAAATGTGCAATATGGATAAGTTAATATCTGCAAAATACAGCAGACTATGTAAGGGGCAAAGACGTTAAAATGTTGTGGAAAGAAAGACCAGTGAAGTATTTTGAGATTACATTTTAAATACACATCGTGCAAACATATCAGACTTAAACTGTTTTTTAACAAGTTCAGTGTAATATATCAACTTTGAGGTATTGTTTGTATTAAAGAATTAATAAAAAGGTGGTAGGTGACTGGATATCAACAGTCTCTTGCGCTAGTTGTCCATACTGGCCTATTTCTGTGACTGTACAGACCCCAGACTGTGAACAATCTATTTTGCCTCTGAGACGGCGCATTCAGAACTCCTTTGGGATTCCAGTCGATCAGAGGTCAAAACACTCTCATTCACCATCAGGTAATTATTCCAAGCAGAAATCACTCCTTACTTTCAACAAATAGATCAGGACAACGAAACCACTGTTACAGTGCCATGTAGTGCAAATAATGCCTGTTTAAATAATGATGCTTGAACACTGAGATGTCAAAAATGCTCTGAAATACAGAAACCTTACGGAAGTAAATAATGTGCAAAGTTTTAGCATCAGAATACACTTTATTACCATAAAGGAAAATGTCGTGTCACTCTTTACTTACTTTGATCATAAAAGCCATCAGTGGACTTCAAAGAGCCCTTGTCTTTAAGGGGGTACGGGGACAGGCGCTGCCAGGAGTAAGAGTATATTTTTATGCTGATTTGACAGCTCAGTTGCATTTTCTGCCGCATTGATCAAATAAAGCCCAGGCAAAGGAGGACGGGGGGAAATTTGCACCTTGATCATCTGCAGTTTACCATGTGGCATTGAGGCCGGCCTTTGATTAACATCAAAGGCTTTTTAATTTGGCTTGGGAAAGCAAATCTGGCACCAGGAACACATTGAGACCACGACCTAAGAGGAACACCTCTCCAATCTACAGCAGGAGCTCCAACACAGCTGCACTGGCAACACCCTGATTAAACGAGCAGTTTTCAGACCTACACCATTGAGGGGTACAAACAATTTAGGGTGTGCAATACACGAACAATCTTTAGACGAATTCAAACAAGAGACATGCTGAAGAAAACAAACAGATCACCTGGTTGCATACGAATTATTTAAATGATCTTAAAAGATTTGTGGCAAAAAAAAAAAACTACCAAAATAAAAACTAAAATGGGTCAAGTGAAAACCACAAAATGTTCGTTCCATGCTACGAAAATAAAACTGAAGAAAACAAATCAGCTTCATCACAAACATGAAAAAAAGAAAGAAAAGGGAATCTACCGGGTGAGATGGCTCTCCGAGGCCATGTGGCTTCCACTGAGTCTTTTTTCACAATTACAACTTACAATTTTACAGTAAGAGAAGTGACACGTGACATCTCGCTAACACGAAATAAAGCAATTATAAAGGAACAATGCAGAGTTTGTGTAAGTGAATATTTTTAGACGTAAACTACTAAAACATTCCCCAAACCATATTACACATTGCATATTCTATGGGATAAAAAGCTTTATGAGAAATATCATCAGCTATAGAACCACAGCACTAGTACATCACAGGACATTACAGATTTTAATGTTCTATTCTAAATCATTTAAAGCTTTCATTCATGGAAACACTGGTGGCAGAGTTTCCTCACACTTAAACCTGACTTGGGTGGGAGTCCCATGTATACTTTGCATTTTATTCTAATTTTTTCCTCCATCTCAGACAATGATGTGACCTATTTACAACTGGAAAATTCCCTTACTCTTATTTTGAAAGTTAAGTTGACATAAGATGTAGCCTTTCGAGACAGAAAGTCCACACATACTTTTGCAATATGAGTAACCAAATCGCTTTTTATGCAAGGCTTTACTTTTTTCCAGGAGTTGAGTGATACAAAGTACAAAGATGGCTAACTAAGTTTAGTTAATTATGTTCACTTATACTCTCTACTTATTAAACATTTGCCAGGTCAAAATAAAATAATAAAATAAAAACAACTGGTCCAAGCTTCTCAATTCCACTGTTTACTGTAATACTGACCATGTGAACCACTTCTGGGTAGATCGGTTCGGTGATGACGTTCCTGTTGTGGGTGATGTACTCCACCATCTCGCTCAGCGCCGCTCGTTTCACCTCCTTCCATTTCAGGTCACTCAGTGGGTCTGAGACAAAATCGAAGAGAACGCAGCACTGACGCAACTTCTGGATAAACAGCTTCTCCTGCTCTGCAGGGGGAACATCTGTGAAACAGAGAGAAGAAAGGCTGGAATTAAATTCAAATTCTCTTCACAAAGCAAAATGTCAATGATTTTTAACATTAGACAGAGCAGCAATGATACCGACAGGCTGACTTACTTTTAGATGTTTTGCTAAGCAATCTCTTCATTTTACAACCATATTTTATTTTGCTGTGATCCATCACAAAGGACTTATAATGTTATAGACTGCAAGGCATGTCTCTGAATAACTTTAGGTTTACTGAGCTGTGCTGTGCTTGTTTGAGACAGAACGATTGCAGCTTTTGTGTGTGTGTTTTCATTTATTTGATAGTTCAGGAAATGCTGGATTTCCTACTGAAAACTCTTTAATAAAAACACCAGATACACATATTTTGTGCTTCTCCAGAGGAAAGAACATTTCGACTTGCTGGCTTTATTCTGGGCACGACTGCATTGTTTCTACAGACTTCACTGGAACTGTGAATTTGTGCACAGCAGCTCAGCTGTTTGCTTGGAGATAAGCATTTTGGTTGATAAAGCAGAATATATCCGGGTGGCACATCACATGATAGATAATGTTAAGTTACCAGTGCCCCATGCATCAACTGTGCACAGCAGTTCTCTCTGTGCTGCCAGTGTACCCGGTGATGAAAGCCTGCTGACAGCCAAATAACAAATCACAGCTGCTTAAAGCAATAACCAATCACAGAGTAGAGCAGCCCTGCAGCTGACGTATCTGTGCGCCAACTGTTGTGAAATCCTTTGGTAAAAAATGAAAACTGTTCATCCAAATGATTTCAAACTCAACTCTGCACACACATACACACGTTCCTCTAGTTATTAAAGCAAAAAGCAACCAATTCAACTTAGTGAGGTAATGACTGCTATGTTATCGCCACATCAATGATGCAAAAGATCTAAATCACCCTCTGGGAATGTGGGGCCACACCTACCTGTGTATCATTATTAGCTTGCAATTAAAAAAAATTACATGTTTTTGCAGCCAATGAATTTTGCACAATGAGCTAACCTCCAATCAGTGTCAGTTTAAATGATTTATAACCACTTGACAGCTTCCTCAAAGATAAGAACGATTAGAGAAAAGTATGAAAACATTTTTTGTCTGCAATTAAGTAATTAAGTGACAATAACAAAGCTTCTAAACAGAATTATTATATATTAAAATAGATCATAATTTCAATCAACTTTCTGGACTGCTCAGAGGGAACCTGAACAGAGCTTGAAGGGTTTGCACACTCCATACATCATAAGGTGTGCAACAGTGCAAGGTATGAAAGTACGGACGTTTTTATAAACAAGACCTACTCTAAATCTACAGGTAACCATTTTAGCAATTTTAGAAATAGCTATAATGTGTGCTCTCTCCCTTTATCAGCACTCAGGAAGAAGAGCTCTGAATAAAGTGCAACTTACTTTCACCTTTTTTTGACAAAAGTAGAAAGGACGCCATTACTACAAGCAGCCTATATAGCACCAAATAACCCCAGCATTATGCACTCTACTGTGATGGGGCCTTCACTAGGACACAGCTATTTCCCTTTTCTTTACAATGATCAAAACTGTCAGTAGCAGCCTGTAATAAATGACACAAGTCACAGAAAGGAAGCTTCTCCTCTGAATTAGCCTGAGCTCATCCGATTCCCAAGCTTCAGAAAATACCATGAAACCAAGAGAAGTGGATTGGTGCTCATTCATTTTCATCCAACACGGGGATTAGTGTCTTAAAACAGAATGTCACCTTATAAAACCTACCTATGGGGCAGCATTAATCTCTTCATCACAGTCTGTGATTCTTGAGTCTTTCTTTTCTCCCCATTAACAATCTGCATGTGTACCCTACATCACCATGGTGACTGCAGGCAGAGACAGGACTTTGGACCAGGGGGTGACCACTGCTAATCAGAGACGCATGTCTGCTGCTTCTACACTGGAATCAAGAGACCGCTGAATTGCTGATCACATCAGCTATGGCTGAAAAAAGTGTCAGCCAAAGGCATCATGCAAAACATAAATCATGGAGTAAAATAAGTCAGTCAGCACTCCCTGCTACACTCAGTAATCTTACAGATACATTTATAAACGTCCAGTGGCTTTCTTGAACACTTTGGAATAAAGAGTTAAAACAGCACGGTAATCTGTAATTATATATCTACAGTATTTTCTGTGCAGACCCTGCTTTGCATAAGTTGATACCAGACAAAATGTTAACAGCTGGCACCAATAAAATAGGTCAATTCTAAAAGATTCAGTAATGGAGGCAATGCTCACAGACTAGAACCTCAAATTGCGACTGACAGCACACCTCCACATTAGTCACAGAGGAAACGTTAGCATTTAAAACAGCATGAAACAAAGCTGTCCTATGAGTTCTTTTAGGTAGACTACCCTTTTGAATCAATAATGTATTTGCTTTATAATTCCCCAACACTGTTACAGTGTCAAAGCTTTGTGGTGAAGCTTCCTTACTTTACTGTTGCTTCCTTTCTTATCTAATGGCTCTTTGTTGGCTCTTGTTTTACGTTTGTCTGTTTTTATACAAATAGTTATACAGGCCATAAGATATTTTGAAAAAACTGGAAGATTTTTGAATTTATATTTAGAAGACTTACTGCCATATTCAAACTACTATCCGCAAACAGGATCCAATTGAGCACAGTAAAAGGTCAAACATCAGCCAAGCTCTTGAGCTTTTGCCACAACATCCGTGGAGAACACTAAAGGTGATCCATTTTGTATTTCTGGAGCAAGTTTACATAAGAGTGTCTTCCTTTCCAGTGAGGTGCACTAACTGTGAAAGTAAAACTCACGACCACTTTTTGTGTTCATGACTAATATTCAGCTTGCTTCTGCTTAAGTGCGTACAGTGTGTTTAAAATATATATATATTAAGCCTTGTTTGGACAGTGAGCACAAATACTTGTCAAAATGATGAACAATCCCCTCTAAATGCATGCAAGTTAGTAAAAATATTTATAAGTGTTAAGTTAATATAGTAGCATCTGTTTTACTAGGAAGTCTCAAAATTTTACCCTTAACTCTTTAACGCTTGAAATCCTACAAGGAGTAACCCTTTAAGGTCTTTTCTGAATTGAGCTGCTTATAGAACAAAATGACTGGGTGTGCAGATTCGTGAGGGTGGTCTCTGCTTATTCAGCTACCCTTTGAAAAACCCAGAAACTATCATAATGGTCATCAAACAACATCTTTACTGATAAACACTGAGGTGTCAAAACTTGTCATTAAGGGTAGAGGGGAGGTGGTCAAATGTGGTGTTTATAGCGAAAAGAGTAAGATGAATACAGAAAAACGGTTGCTGAGTTATTTGAGGCTTGGTACACCTGCATCAACTTTTGTTCCTATTACTGTTACAGGCCGACTCATGAGCACCTCGACTCATCAGCCTCTGAGTGCTGAGAGGTCTACCAGCTCCTGTTACACAACAGCACTAGGGTTTCTGAACAGACCTAAAATATTAAGAGACCTGCTGTGCAACTGCAGACTTCACACACGAGCGTCTCTGCATGGATCAGTGAATAACCTTTACTCATCTAAAAGCTCCAGCATGCATACAGGAAGCCAGCCACGAACACAAATTGCTTCTAAGCACAACTCTTGACTCAGACATTCTGTACTACGGAATATGAAAATAACTGATTAATAAAGTGTCCCTAATGGCAAATGTGGTGCGCTTACCATCTGTCCCTTCAGACACAGGATATCCGAAGGAGGGACCGGTGGCTTTCTGCCATAACTTGCTGTAATTATCACTATGCATATAAATGGCACGAGACCATGTTAACAGCCACATAAGCAACACCATGATACTGACATCACTGTGACAGCAGCAAGCATATGAAATAATTGGCTGCATGTTAAACACACACTGCCACTTCATCTAGAGACAGCTTCCAGCTTCCTTAAGTTTGTCCGAATCAACGTCAACTCAAAAAGAAAACTGGAGCTACAACTACATCAAACAACCTTTCTACTTATGTTAGTCACATTGCAACAATACAATACAGACATATACAAACTAACAACAAGCTTTGACCTCACTTCCTATGACATCAATAGTGTTGATGGGGGAGGGGAGAATCAAAACTACCAATCTTACCCCCCCCCTCTAAACTAAAGCTAAGCTTTGCAATGTCTTGGCAGAACCCTTCCTTGCTGACATACAAACACAATCACCTCCTTTCTCTTTCAAAAACCCTCGTGCAAACAACACTAAAATAAACTCTTAAACTCGCCTCCACAAAAGTAATGATACATATAATATCAAGCTTTTTTTTTTCCTTTTCTTTTTTTAAATCACCAGCTGTGGCTGCTTAACACTCAAGCCCACCTCCTCTTTAAACAGACCAGTACACAGCAGCAGATTTCCTATTCTCACCTCTAAAATGCATGAGGGCCACAGGCTGGAAAGGCCCATTGGCGCTCGGTCCATCCAGAACCATCCCGCCGGCAGCTCTAGTACATGCCAACATCAGTGAGCTGAGGCAGGAAACAGGAGAGAAGAGGGTAGCCCAGGCTAAGGCGAGGAGCCAGCCTCCATTTTAGCACGAACACTGAGCAGAAAATGAAGCTCCCCTGCTGCTGGAGGGAACCAGCTAGTTAGTGATGTCATCCCACACAGAAGCAACCTGGTTGGTTAGCTGCAATCACATGGGCGGGCTGTCAGAATAAATAAACATGAGGAAAGAAATTGGCTGTTTGGAGTGGGGAGAAAAGGGGTGGGCCAGTTACTGTGATTGGGCCAAAAGAACCTACATCTGTCAAGGAGTTTTTAAAGCACAAACAACTCGCCTGAATTCCATTTAACCGGTTCTGAAATAACCACAAATGGAATAATAATACCATGGAATACAAATAACTGTACAACATGTAGGTTGCTTGTAAGAAGCAGAGGACAAAGGAAACCATTTATTTCTCTTTTAGTCTTTAACTCCCAACAACACCCACATGGAAAAGAAATAAGAAAAACTTATAAAAGACTTGCATCAGCTTTAGCTTGCTTCATATAGTGAATCATATAACGCTTATATGATATACTCATGAAAGTGGCCACTTTCTCATTACTTTCATATATTGTTTTAGGAAGTATCCAAAACATGCAAGTTTCATTTATATAATTTTTCAAGGGATCTTATATCTGTTTTCACTCTTATATGCTTTTCATACAAGTTTCACACAAGACAGATACAAACTTTAGAAGATTTATATATATCTTTTCCATATTGGCAAACCTAAATAAAACAAAATACAACAAGGTGTTCAATGCTTAATGTCACCTTACACTGGTCATCAACTAGTGGACCTTTTTTTAATGTCTGCTGCCATTTCCAGCATGCGTGCCAACTTTGTGCGCGTGTGTCTGTGTTTGCATGACAGATGGCTCTTCAGCAGCACAGCCTGAGCCCAGGTGTATGTGACAAGAGAAACAGGAAGGCAGGAAGTCTCAATGTGAGCAACACAGGATGTGCATATGCAGAAAGCCACATTTTGAATCAGCAGCACTGGGGAACAAAAGCCTGCACTGTAAACCTTTGCGGGCACATTGGTGACACAGACAATTAAAAGCAACAAATCCATACTCCCAGTCACTGGCGTAGCACTCCCAAATATAGTAACCACTGCACCCTTAGAATACAATAGGGCTCTGTAAAACTCTGCACACAGACAAACACAATCAGAACATACACAGACATTTTTTTTTTTGTGCATGCCATATGTGTCATCATACTGAAAGTACAGTAAGCACATACAGACAAGGTGTCGAAACAGTGATTCAGCTAAAGTCTTAAGCATTCCTATGCACGAAGAATAACCACGCAAATACAGTGTAGATGGGTGTGAATTAAACAGATTTGGACTACAGTGACATATAATCTAATAATTTTTGCTGCATAAGAAAGCCACCGAGGAGAAAAGACTGCACAAAAAGACTTTGCTTACCCCATTAGAATGAACATTTCATAACCGTAGCTGTGTGACAACCCACAAACATTTCTATTAAAATGTGTGTATGGCATACTAGCCTTCGCAATTACTTCTCTTCTGTGAAGGACAAAAAACGACATTATTTTTTTGCACTATGATTGCTGTCATTTCAGTGATTGGCAGCGTTAGCTAAGATTACATAAAACTGGCCGAGCAACTACAGCAAGGCAACAGGGTTGTTTTTTCTATGCAGTTTCTGCATAATATGCAAAGAAGGAAGACATTGATATACTCTTGACTGCTTAAAAGTAATTAGGGGAATCATTATTTGTGGATAATATTGTCCAGCAGATGTAACTCTATACAGAGGTTTGGTTAAGCTCGGGGCGATCGTGGCTCAAGAGTTGGGAGTTCGCCTTGTAATCGGAAGGTTGGACAGTCTCGGTCGTTGTGTCCTTGGGCAAGACACTTCACCCGTTGCCTACTGGTGGTGGTCAGAGGGCCCGGTGGCGCCAGTGTCGGGAGCCTCACCTCTGTCAGTGCGCCCCAGGGTGGCTGTGGCTACATGTAGCTGCCATCACCAGTGTGTGAATGTGTGTGTGAATGGGTGGATGACTGGATATGTAAAGCGCTTTGGGGTCCTTAGGGACTATTAAAGTGCTATACAAATAGAGGCCATTTACCATTTAAGCTCAAAAAAGAAAAATAGAATACATAAAAACTGTTTTGGAAGTTTCACACTTCACAAAAAAAACAAAAACAAACAAACACTGTTTTAGGCTAATGTACTGTTTGTGCAAAATGCATTTTGTGTGGTATTTCATAAAGCACATAATGGTGTCACGGTTCCTCCCTGTGGGTTTGCACTTCTCCGCTGGAGGTGCAGGAGGTGTGGTGTGGTTCGAGTCCGGCTGCTGTTTGTTCTTGCACACTTCTTGTATTGCCACTGTTGCTCCTGCTACACAACCTTGAGCTTGTATACGTGTTTATCTGCAGGTTAGAGGATGTAAAAAGTCTTACACTAAAGTCAACTGTACAAAATGGGAACAACTACACCCCTAATGGATGTAATACTTAACATCTAGTTTAGTTGGTCCTAATATATACGATAATGGAGCACTTCATCAGCAGGAACTAATCTGGGCATATAAAGGGCTCTTTCTTGCCATTTTGTACCTTAGGCATAGTGCATCCATGACCATGAGAAGAAAATACTGGATTACTCATTACAAATGGTAAATGGCCTGTATTTATATAGCGCTTTACTCGTCCCTAAGGACCCCAAAGCGCTTTACATATCCAGTCATCCACCCATTCACACACACATTCACACACTGGTGATGGCAAGCTACATTGTAGCCACAGCCACCCTGGGGCGCACTGACAGAGGCGAGGCTGCCGGACACTGGCGCCACCGGGCCCTCTGACCACCACCAGTAGGCAACGGGTGAAGTGTCTTGCCCAAGGACACAACGACCGAGACTGTCCAAGCCGGGGCTCGAACCGGCAACCTTCCGATTACAAGGCGAACTCCCAACTCTTGAGCCACGATCGCCCCTGTACAAATGCTACTTTGGCACATGCATTCACCAAACTCGAGCTTTCTGCTGTGTCTGCGCTATTTTTTAAATGCGAAGAAACTTGTGAGATTGCTATAACACAAGCATGGTTTCAGAGCTTTTTCTAAACGTATCATTGATATCAGCAGCACTGCCTAAAATACACAACGAAGTGGTTCATTCACAGGTCTGCTGATCTTCAATGTCACGGTCCTCTGTAAACGCTTAAGGCTCAGATCTATTTGGAGAAACAGACTGATCGACGCAGCTGAGGACACAGGCTCTTTCAACAGTGGCTGAACTTAGGCAGCTTCCAATGATAGGGACATCTTTATCAAGATCCAACCTATTTTTTCTTCTTCTCGTAACGCAAAGATGAATCACAAAGCGATGATAGATGCTGATCTGTATTAGTTACATTAGAAGCAGATATATTAAGAAACAAAGCCCAGATTTGTTCATTGTGCCACTAAAAATGTTGCACAAGTGGAAAACACCTGTGGCTGATGACTGCAAGATAAACACGCTTGGAGATCGCATTTAATGTTGCAGCTTAAACCTGGTAACTTGAGGAATGTGTTATTATAATATGTACAACAGTTTAAAAGCTTAAAACGTTTTTCAAAGTTCAAAAACAAGTTTTAGACCTGCAGATATAGTAAACGTGTGTGAATTAATTAAATACCATTTTCAATATTTACTATTCTTCCAAACAAAAGACCACCAATTCAGATACAGTGTCATGTTTTTTAGTAGGATCCTGTCATTTCTGAATGTTGCTGATGCATAAATGAAATATTCACTGCTTAAATATAGCAATGTGTCTGATTCTCTGACTTCTAGCTACAAAACCCTTCTAGAAGCAATGCTGAAAAGTCCAATCATGCAAAACCAGTGCACAGCTTGAGCAGTTTTAACACCATGATCACTGCCAGTGACTTTTTTTGTATTTTTATTCATATGAAATGTCTGACCCGGGAAGTTTCTGTCATGAGTTGTAGGGGCCTTTTTCTGCTTCCACGTGTATTCAAAGTTAAAGACGTTTCTCTGACATGACATGACAAATAGTGATTTAACGTTAAGATTACTTCCTGGAAGCTTTAGAATGTAACTAAAAGACAACCACAGTAAAAGCAACATTTCGATTCATAAAAATAAAAACTGACTGACGTACACTTTAGTAGTTTGACTTAGACCTGTGTTTTCTGCTAACAGTCAGTGACACCTACTAAACAACTGTATTACAGGTAGCAATAGCAGAACTAAACACACAACTTATTTAGTTTTAACATCTTCACGTTTGCTGTCATTATCCTGTCTCCCTAGTGCTAGGCTGAAAAAATGCTTAAAAAAAAAAACATAACTGCTGACCATATAACTTCTGTCATCTTTACTGTTTATCCCTCAAAATGAAGATGACTGTACACTGAAGAAGTCAAACATAACTAACTGTTGGCACACAGTGTGACACCAAAAAAAAAAAAAAAAAATAGGCTCCAACCCTCTGAGGCATGAACCTCTGAAAGTCCCCTGTGATATGTCGCACCAACATGTCAGCAGCAGATTTCTTATATTCTGTGAACTGTCAGAAGCACTGCAGCTTATTAGACTTGGGACAGACCACTGTCTCCAGCTGTCCCTGCTCCGTGCTTCGTCATTTGTGTCCATTGTGTCTTTGACTAGTGCTGAAGCCCGTGTACCGTTCTCACAGATAAGATTCATTTCAGACAATTAATAATTTACAATGAACTACGCTCATTCAACAGGAGAAACACAACAACGGGAGAAACATATAACAATTTGTGAAGCATAAACTAAATCCAAACTACTTTGAATACTAGTAGCTACATGTTTATAAAAGAGCAGAAATGTCACAACTTAACCTGCGACAATAAAAATAATATTTTATATCCTGTACCCACCAGAATCTGCCGTGACATAGGCATTTAGCCTCGTCACTATCTGTAACATTTTACTCTACACAACTGTTTACTCAGTAAAACATATCTCAGAGTTAGCACAAACTACCGTTCACAGACTAATAAACATTCTCGGTCATTATGATTTCATTATGTTGTTTTTGTAAGGCTTTTCCTGGTGTCCTTCTGTTGAAGTGTTTTATTTTCCTTATGTTTTCTTTTTTACATTGTGTACAATGTTTGCATATCTGCGGTCTGCCGACTGTTAGTTATATCCATTAAAATGCCCCTTAAAACAGTTTCACATTATAAAGGAACATGGGAAAGTTTTGCATTGCCATTAAGCATAGTCTCATTAAAAAGGTAAGGACCGCAAATTTCATACACTATGTTAACTGTACCCTCAATTTTAAAATAAATAAATAAATCAGATTAAAAAGTATTATCTGTTTTTAAACTTTGGTTACAAGTAGATATACTCATGTCCTTCAACATCATCTCTCATATTTGACACTCTAGCCACAAGGTGGCACCAAACCCTATGAGACCAAGGCTCCATGAAGGAGAGCTCCTGCTTTAAAAGA